CAATCAACATACCATAAAAAGGAGGGCTGACCGAGTTTTATTAGCAGCACGGTTATATGGGATACACCTTTCTGATTCCGAATTGACAATGAAAGATGTGACCTAACAGCATTAGAGCTTCACTGCAAGAGCGGGGAAGGGGAATACAGTATTAGAGTCTAAATCATTATGTTATGAATGGTTTCCTGCCAGTCACACAAGCAATACATCTGGAAGTGTTCTGCAGCTACAGTATCCCAGAGGAGTGTGTGATGTCAAGTGAAACATTACAAATAATGACATCATGGCACTGCTGAAATCATTGCACCTAATCCTAAGGTACGGATTTGACAGCGCTGCAGCCAATAGGATCATCCTGCCAGCTTTTCAGGATCAGAGCATGCTCAGCCAGTTCTTAGCAGCATTAATCCTCTAATTAATGGAATTTCTACAACACTTGTTGTTAGCAAAAGGCTGAGAAGATCTGTAGTTGTTTAGTACCACTTGCGCTCACAGCAATCAATGAGTCTTAATTATGCGAAATGTCAGTATAATAGAAATCACAAGTGTCATTTAAATACAACAAGGAAAATGACATTTTGCCATGACTCTTGAGTAGTGAAGTAGACAAGCAGCAATTTCTGTCTCCCAACTGCCACTTATAATGAGTAATTCCAATAAAAAGGAACTGTCAATTACATTTCTACTGTGAAACATCCAGGAAGTTTTTTAAAATGACATTTCGGTTTTCTCTCAAAAAGATGCAAAAATTGAAGGATTAAACAGTCACCCTTTCGTGCCATCTCCTCATGCAATCACACTCATCTATCTATCTATCTATCTATCTATCTATCTATCTATCTATCTATCTATCTATCTATCTATCTATCTATCTATCTATCTATCTATCTATCTATCTATCTATCTATCTATTTTCTTTAGCTTCTATACCGCCCAATTAGTGTAACACACTATTCTGAGCGATTAACACTCAATAAAGTAAAATAGGAAACAGTAAATCAAACAACAGTAATAATAAAAGACAATGCTAATAAAGAAAATGAAGAAAATGAATTGTCTTGTAAGTCTGTAATCAACCTTGCATTAGACAGTGTTTTGCCTGTCTGAGAGACAAAACATTAATTTCCCCTCAGTCTATTAATAAAACAGTAAGTCGTAAGGTGCCATGCATAGAGCTAATCTTCTGGCATTATAAACAAAGAAGGAATGCATTTGATTAACCAAAAAAAGTAAATATTGAAATCTTAAAAAGATTATTTTTTCATCACAAACTGTGTTTACGCTACAGTACTATATCAAGTGTTGGGTGGGTGTGTACATACAAACATTTGTGTGTGTATTCCTTCCTACTCATGAGTTTTCCTCGTTACATTACTTATTTACTGAGGTCAGTAATCCTAGACAATTCATCAGCTGGGTACAGACCACGCTTTGCCACACCTGTGCTTTCATTCAATATGAACCCTGCATGCTCTTGTCACTTTTGGCAAGTTCAGCATGGATATATTTGCATGCGTGCATACACACAAATTACAGTCATTTTCAGAACTGTCCCTCTACTTTGAAGAGGCAGAAAATGCATATACACATAAATACACATCTATATACACCACACAACACAGAGAGTACTTCTTTGAAAGATGAGACAGTCTTTCCATTGGAATGCATGAAGATGCACTCAATTCTGATGCTGCGGCACAAGAATTATCCTTAAAGCAATCAACAATCCTTTCAACTTTCACTGATCTAACTATTAGGACATCATCTTGTAATCTGTGATAAGCCTTTTCCTTACTACTACAGTATTCTGAAAAATATTCCAATTTTTGTTTGAAATAAAACAACTGAGGTTAATCTTATGTACTTATCAGAAAGTAAACCCTACTGAACACAACATGGGCAGACATGTATATGGTAGCACTCTTCAATGCATAACGTTTTATTCAATAACCACAGACAATTCAGAAAAAAATTCAATACTCTGTGTTTCTAATTAACCACAGCCATATAAATAGAGAAACAATTCAAACACATTCTGGCATATAACAAGGTTGCAGCAACCACTTTCTGCAGTTATACATATACAAACATTTTTAACAGGACTGACTATATATCATATAACCAATGCAAAAGATATATAAACTTGACAGACAGGTTAGATTTCTTTCAGTTTTCAAGTAACACATTATTATGGGATAAAAACTCTCCAACACCCATGACTACCATTTGTTAATTAAATTTTATTGCAAACTATATTTTGCTGTGATGCATCATAAGAATAACCCTACCTTAGCAGCAATTAACTTCTCCAGATAGAAAATGCCTCAAAATGAATGGGTAGACTCTCAAGACTATGGACTTCAAGAGTGCACTACAGGACTAAGAGGGAAACTATATATTTCAAGGAGGCACGTGATCCTACAAGATAACATGATGTGAGCTGCAGGTCAAAGCAGTCCAAAAGGGTAACATGCTCCTTTGCTAGAGGCATAGATATACGGACTATAAAAGAAAAGGAGGAAAAACCAGATTTTTTTGTTGCAGTATTCCCCATCAACCCTAACATGAGAGCCTATGAACAGCTATTGCCTGGGGACACAGTACTTTAATGATAAACAGCATTTTTAATTATTATTTTTAAGTGACACAAGGAACCAATTACAGATGCCTTCAGGACCACAAGAAGAAATCTTCCAACCCAAACCACCACTTTCAAAAAACAAATTCCATACATGGTGCTCCATTTAGAAACAATAATATCTGAATATATCAAACAAAGTACATCTGTCCAAAAATGTGAGCATGACATACATAGCAGCAGCTCCCACAACAGAATGGGTGTGGGGCTACTATGTGGGTGGATGTACAGAACAGGCAAGAGCTATCTCAGAGTTCTCACCCAGAAGAAAGTAAACTTCAGTTTCATCCCAAAACATAAGAACAGGGATAACTCCCCTCTTCCTAACATTTATCCTCTCCAGTGGTCCTCAACCTTGGACCTCCAGATGGTCTTGGACTTCAACTCCCAGAAATCCTGGCCAGCAGAGGTGGTGGTGAAGGCTTCTGGGAGTTGTAGTCCAAGAACATCTGGAGGCCCAAGGTTGGGGACCTTGCTCTATGCCACAGCCCTGCAACAGTGGTCTTCCAGATGTTTTGGGCCTCTGGCATGCATAAACCCTCACTCTGATTTTTTTTATTTAAAATACACACTGTACAGTATAAGTTTGATGGCAGCTGTAGATAGAAACCACTTGGAGGTCCACAGACCTCTGAAAACCAAGCTTAGAAATGTTTCCTCTTCAAATAATTCACTTGATTACAGCAGAAATTACAGTACTGCTAAGAGGTATGCTTGCATATGTGGGTATTTTAGCACAAAAGTATGTTGGAAAAAGTATTCTTAAAGGTGCTTCTCACTTTCCATTTAGCAGACAGGGAATCAGGAGAGGGTGTGCAATGTACTCTTCATCTTTATCTCATTCAATAACGTGTTTCTCCCCCCCCCCTCACTTTCAGCAGCACCATGTCATCTCACCCCTGTGTGAACTGCAGGATATAGAGATTCCTTTCCCCTCATACACAACCACTTTTTAAAAGGAAGGAATTATTTAAACTGGGTGTGATCTGAACACGGGAGGCTTAGCACTCCTCCTGCTTGGTCCACTAACCACCCCTGGGAAACAGGAAGGATATGATTCCCTCTTCCTGAGCTATTTAACGGCCTCCAAACCCATTCACTCATTCACAGACTGACAGGATCGTTTTCCACCCACCCATCCAACCGCCTTCCCTTTAACGGTTTTATGGTGATGAGCTGCATCTGACTTACTGCAACACTAATTGGGTTTTCAGGGTATATAAGATATTTAAGGGGTGATTTTAACACTGACACCCCTCAGTGGGGATTTGAACCCCAGGCGTCCTGAATCCTCCGAGTCCATTATTCTATTCACTATATCACTTTGGTTCTCCCTTTATTTTCCTCGTTATATTGATGTTCCATGTTTCCCTGCATGGCTCTGCTCTTCATCCCTTTAGTCTCACAACAGCCCTGTAAAGTAGTCCAGGCGGAGAGAAAAGGCGGGAAGCATGTGGTCCTTTTGTATGTGGAGAAAGGAGTCCTTCTCCTGCTCCCTTTTTATCGGGTGTGAAAGAGAAGAAAGAAAGGGGTTCCCTACACAGACTTCTGTTACGTATTAGGCCTAGAATAACCCATTCATTTATGACAGAGCTGACCCCCCCCCCAAAAAAACGTGGGCCTGCCTCAGAAAGTCTGTGGGTACAGACCTCTTTCTGTGCTAGGTCATGTTTAAAATCCAGTTCCCAGCTCTCGAGGAAAAATAACCTCCTCTCAGATTAAGGAGGGAAGGGACGGCCTTGATTCTAATATCATGATTTATTTTTAGGATGGGAAGATGCTGGAACTCAGGGGGACTAAAACGTGTTTCCAAGCCAGAATCTCACCCAAACCCTGAGGAAAGGCAGGTCGTTTGATGTCAGAGGCACCAAAACACACAAACAGACACACATACACACACACAGAGCTCTGCACAACATCAAAATACAATCCTTTGCTATAACTGACAACATCCTGCTTTTCCACAAGACCTAATAACACCTGCCCCAGGCAGGCCTTTTCCTGGTGACTAAAAGGGCGGGGAAGAGCCCCCCCCGCCCCGAGGCGCGCACACTGCACATGCCCAGAGGCCCTCTTCCTTCCGAAGCTCTTTCCTCCCACCCCCCCAATTGCAAAGCTGGGTCTCGGCAGCTTTCCTAAGGCGGGAAGGAGGGGTGGGACGAGCCCAGCTCCAGGGCTTGGCCTTCTTCCCTCGCCGCTTTCTGCCTGACGGGAAGGCTTTCCTCGTCTACCTCCAGGAAGCAGGGCAGAACCTCTGCCTGCTTTCCCTCCATGCTACCTCCTCCTTCTCCTCCTCCCAAATATATATATACAGTATATATATATTTGTGCAATCTATTTATTTATTTATTTTTCGGCTCACCGTCGATGTTCTCCCGGTCGCTGATGTGCTGCAGGTTGCACCCGGTGTCCTCCCGGCTGAGCTCGGCGTCCGGGCGGTAGGACTCCAGCCGGGAGTGGGCATTCCTCCGCAGCTTGGGGCTGGACGAGACGCAGCAGGAGGTGGTGTTGCCCATCTTCTTCGCCGGGGCCGGCGAGTCGGCCGCCGAGAGGCTCTCGCCAGGCCGGGGGGGATGGGGGGGGGGGGAGAGGCGAGGCGAGGGGAGAAGGCAAAACCCAAAAGGGGAGAGGAGGGAAGGGAAGGGAAGGGAGGAGGAGGAAAGCAGGCAGGAGTCACCCCCGGGGGCGGGAAGCCATCAGCAGCGGCAGCGAGGACGGCGAGCCCCCTGGGGAAAGCAGAAGATCACCGGGGAGGCGGCGGCAGCGGTGGTGGTGGGGGCGCCGGCCGCCTCCTTCTCCGCCCAGCGGCTCATGCAAGCCGCCTCACCCCGCCGCGCGGCTCAATCATCCTGCCCGGGCCGGACGCACGGACGGAGGGAGGGATGGCAACGGACGGCGGGCAAGGCTCCCCTCTTGCTGCAAAACCGGGCTGTTACGCCGCCGCCGGCGCCGGCTGCTCGTGCAACCGCAGCCCCATGGCTCTTCGGGGGGGGCC